AGTCGCATCATTATTGTGCTTTTTTATTGCTCTTCAGAGTACTTTATACTTGTGTTTATTTTATGTGTTAAAATACTTTACTTATTTTACACAGTTATATATTATAGTACTCCATTATGGCTCCTAAAATCGCTAAAAGTACTTTAAAAGACGTCAGCGTCTCATCAATAAACGAAGTAATAAGTACTCTCACGACAATCGCTAATGACATCGAGTCTAATATTTCAGAGTCGGGAAATATAAAGACAAACATCAAAGAATCAATTCTTAATTCAGCAAATCAAATACGCACAATAACCGCGTACTTGCAAACAAAGCCCATTAGTACATCGTCAAACAATACCTTTGAAAGTACTCTGACATCACTGATGGAGAACCAAAGTTTAATGATGAAGGAAATTCAATCATTAAAAAACTCTACAAAAACTTACGCCTCAGCAACAGCTAAATATCTCACCGCTCCAAAAACAACTAAACCTGAAGAACCTCAAAAACCAAAGTACTCATCAATCATAAAATCAAACAACGAAAACGACAAACATGAAGAAGTATGGAAAAAGTTCACAACAAATATCCATCCAAAAGTACTCAAATGCGGTATAGCAAACAAAACTCGTCTTTCGAATAACACTATCCGATTGGACTTTGAAAGTACTGAAGACAGAGACAAAGTCATCAATGAAGTGAACAAAACAAAAGTACTCTCATCAGAACCCGCACGCAAAAGAAATCCTTTAATCCAATTAAAAGGAGTACTCAAAGAAACGCCAAAAGACGACATAATAGATGCCATAGTAAAACAGAACCCACAAATAGAGTCATCAATAAAATTAGACGACCAAAGTACTCATCTCAAAATTAGATTTGAACGCAAAAATAGAAGTATTTCACTCATCAATTACGTACTCGAAGTTTCGCCCAAAGTGTACTCTTCAATAAAAGACATTAATAGACTCAACTTACATCATCAAAGAGTGTACTTCGAAGACTTCTCACCGTTGGTTCAATGTTTCAAATGTCTTGGTTTCGGACACACTAGCGCTAAGTGTACTTCAACTACCGATACTTGTGGTCATTGCGCTGAATCACACAAAAGAAAAGAATGTCCACACCTAACCAACAAAAACAAAATAAAGTGTATAAACTGCCACAACAACAACATAAAATTTGACACAAATGAAAGTACTTCACACTCAGCGTCTTCATTAAGTTGTCCTCACGTGTATCGAATGACTCAGCGAATCACCGAAACAATCGACTATGGATACTAACGCCAAACAACTCAAACTCAAAGTACTCCAATGCAATTTACAACGAAAAAGAACAACACTCAACGAATTAATTCAAAATCACAAAGACAATTACGACATAGCCTTAGTTCAAGAACCGTACGTTTCAAACATTGGCGAAATACGCTGTCCAAAATCTATTGAAGTCATACAACAAAAATCCGACACTGACGTAAAATCAGCAATACTTATATTCAATCCTAACATCAAATATTTAATTCAATCAAAGTACTCCAACTCAAACATAACAACAATAGACATACTTCTTAAAACATATAGTATTAGACTTTGTTCAATATATAATCCTCCACATACCGATATATCATCAAAGCTAAGTACTCTTAGTGAAATAAAGAAAACAAGCAAATACTTGATAATTGGCGGAGACGTGAATGCAAAACATTTATCTTGGACTAAAGTACTCAACAATGATGACAACGGAAATAAAATCGAAAACTTTTTAATAATAAACGACATGGAAGTACTCAATGTCGGCAATGTGCCTACCTTTCAAACTACTAGAGGAGAAAATTTATTACAATCTATTATAGACATTACAGCAAGTACTCTAAACTTGTCTACAAAAATCATCAATTGGCAGGTAAACCCTAAGTTAATCAGCAGCAGCGATCATAATGCAATATGTTTTGACATTTTACTCGATGAGTGCATTGAAAAGTATAACACATCTACTCATAAGTTTCGAACAAAGTACGCCGATTGGGAACAATTTAAATTACGTTGTTTAAAGTACTCACAAATTTATAATATAAACGATCACCGCATAGAAATGATTAATAATCTCAGTACTCTTGACAATTTTATTTCTGACCTAACAACTACAATACATAAAGCCTGCAATGACTCAATCCCTGTACGCAAACACAATAAAGTACTCTGTCACTGGTGGACAGAGGAATTAGACGTACTCAAAGATAAACTTCTTAAAAGTAAACATCGATTACAAAATGCGATAGGAAAACCTCCTAAAAATGCAGTCGACGAGTACTCTAATCTTCAAGTTGAATACACTCAACTCATTAAAAAGCATTCTCTTCAAAGTTGGAAAGAATACATTTCAAAACAAAATAAGGACGACGTATGGAGTAATATTTTTCGAGTCATAAAAGACGCTCCAAATAAACAGCTTAAAAGTACTTTCAAAATCGACGGCACGTACACTACAAACGCTAAAGACTCTGCAGAAACGTTACTTAACTACTTCTATCCTGATGACACACCTCAAAACGATACACTTGAACAACAAATTCTGCGTACGTCATCAGAAGATGATTACAATACCCAGCCAAATGATAGCCCCATTAAGTATGAAGAAATATTGGAAGTACTACATAACATGAACCCCAAGAAAGCCCCAGGACTCGATAATTTAACATCAGACATAATAGAACAATTTACAACAACTTTCCCTAATATTGTAACAAAATTACTTAACGTATGTTATACTCTAAATCTTTTTCCTACTTATTGGAAAACAGCGTACGTTAAGATCATCCCTAAACCTGGAAAAGAGAATTATAATGAGTTGTCATCACATCGACCTATTGGACTACTGCCTGTATTTGGAAAAGTACTTGAAGGAGTAATAATTAGAAGAGTACAATGGGACTTACATAAAAGAGGCCAATTGTCAAACAAACAGTACGGCTTTACTCCTCAAACATCAACTGTTGACGCAATAAGCAACGCATTAAACATAATCAAGTACGCTAAATCAAAGAAAGAGTACGTTATGGCAATATCTTTAGACATCAAAGCAGCGTTTGACAATGCTTGGTGGCCGGCAGTTATCAATGGCTTAAAAACTAAAAATACTCCAAAAAACACTTTAGATCTAATCAAACATTACTTTAAAGATCGCAAAGTACTTCTCAACTATGGAAATAATACTGCAACTAAAGTACTTACTAAAGGTTGTATCCAAGGTTCAATCGGCGGCCCTACATTTTGGAATATTATTATAGACGACTTATTAAGCAAATCACTTCCACCAAACGCACATATGCAAGCATTTGCAGATGACGTACTTCTAATAACACATCACAAGGACAAACATCGTTTGAAAAACATCACAGAAGAAGTACTTCAAGAAATTATCGATTGGGGTAAAAAAGTAAAACTTACGTTTGGATCTGAAAAAACTAAACTCATATCCTTTAATCAAAGACAACAAAATATACCCATACTAATGAATAATAAAGTACTCGAATATGAAAATCATATTAAAGTACTTGGAATTATAATAGATAAAGACTTAAAATTCAACAAACACATAGAGTACGCTATAAATAAATGCTCAAAAATATACAGATCTTTATTAAGAGTTGCTGCACCAACATGGGGACTCGACTCTGAAATAATACGCATAATATATTTGAGAGCTATAGAACCTGCAATAACGTACGGATGCAGTACTTGGATCGATGGTCTCAAACTAAAGTACGCAAAGAAAAAACTTCTTGCTTTCCAGCGCTCAATAGCAATACGCATTTGTAAAGGCTTTCATACGCTATCGTTCACAACAGCATTTGCACTGGCAAATGTAATACCATTGGATCTCAAAATTAAAGAAATAGCCGAAATTGAAAACGCCAAACGAAACAGTACTTCAGAATATATGGATTTCAAGCTACAACATAAAGTAAAATTTACATTATTAAAACACCCCAGTCAACGTACGTCAATTTCTTTCAATGATACAAGTACTCCAACAACAACAACTCAACCAAATGAAATTAAGATATACACTGACGGAAGTAAGTTGGATGGAAAAGTTGGATGCGCATTCCAAGTATACGAACAAAGTACGCCAAAATATTTCGAAAAGCATAAACTTGGAGATAATTGTTCAGTTTTTCAAAGTGAATTATGTGCAATAGAGAAAGCTCTAGAGTACTCCAAAAGAAGAAAAATAAAATATATCAAATTATACTCAGATTCGAGATCAGCACTTCAATCACTGAAAAATAGAAGTACTTCAAATCAGCAAATATACAACATACAAATACTTGTAAACACTTTAAAACAACAATTGAAAGAAGTACGTTTCTATTGGACCAAAGCGCATATAGGTACTGACGGTAACGAAACAGCCGACATATTAGCCAAAAATGCTACTCTATCACACAAAGCGCCAATACTCACAGATATGCCATTAAGTACTCTGAAGAAAAACATAAGAGAAAAAACAATATACGAATGGAACCAACAATACATAAGTTCGACTACAGGAAGTACTCTCAAAACTCATTTCCCATCAATACACGACGTCTTCAAACTTCACAACAAAACAGGAACCACGTTCGAAATGACGCAAGTACTCAGCGGACATGGATATCATCTGGAGTACTTGAAGAAATTCAACATAACAACATCAGACGCCTGCCCTTGCGATGAACATTCAACTCAAAGTCTCGATCATCTTATACGTTTTTGTCCTATTTATAACTTACGAAGAAATACTTTTGATAGAGTACTCGACAATAATAAAATAAAAACATTTGATATTTTAGAAATAATTACTAATAACATAGTACTCTCAGAATTCAAAATTTTTATTCATAGCATTATAAATACATTAAAATATATAAACAATACATAGAAAGTACGCTTGAAAGTACTTTATGTTACCATAGCAACCACAAAAATCTATAAAAAGAATTGACACACAGCAAAATACCTCATTTGTGA